GACACGGTTGACACTTCCGTTATTTCAGTTGGTATGTGGGATTATCGCTAAAAAGGGAAAGTTGTTAATGGAACTGCCTTACACAGATAAGTTTATTTTAATGTTGTAGCATTTCAATAGTAAAAAGTGTAGAGTATATAGGAGAATTAACGTCTAAAGCGCGATCTACTGTGTTGTCCGGTTTGCTCCTAAAAACTGTGACAAATAACTAACTGACTGAAAATCAGAAATGTGGGGGTTATTTCATCCTTCCTTGTCCTTTGTCTTGGTGGACCTGGTGCCTTCCCCTCTTCTTCCAGACCAGCCAGAACCACGAAACCACCATGACAGTGATGCATTAAAAATAAAGTAACCTTAATGGTCATCAATAATTGTGGTCCTGTTTAGATTTACTAGGCTATATATGACAGTTGGATTTGCAGATAATATCCCCCACTCATACAGATGCTGTGGAAACATGCTGTCCATTTCATTCGACACACCAGCGCAAACTCTTAAGAGCCAATGTAAGACAAATAATTTCCTGACAAAAATATCATATAAACATGATTTAATTGAATAAAGTTTGCAGTGTAGTAGAAATGCACGGCATACACCGTACTGTATTGATATTTTACTGAGCTAAACGATACGACTCGTACAGTGCAATAAAACCTCCATGAGCATGAATATCAAAACACCATCAATCTCAAAACTGAGTTGGAGGACAAATCTTTGTGCTCTAAGTACAACTAAATGAGTTTGTACTGTGACGATCAAAGTGTTGGGCTAGTCTAAACCCCTCAGGAGTTTCTTTAGGTGGACAAAGAAGCATAAATCCAATGCACATTTGCTTCCTGAGTTGCAGTTTTTTCTGGATAAGCCCGCTAAACGTTGCAAGTAAAAAAGCCGGACCATTTGTGACCCAAATTGGTGTCAACTTGCACAACTGCCATATCTGGACTGAAATTGACTGCAATTTGGTTAATAGGAGTGAGGGTTAAATCTCAGGTGCAGCGAGAAGGCTGCATGTTTTTCTCTGAACATGACAGGGAAAATTGGCCTTAATCACGATGGTATACTTTGCAACAATTTATGTCATACATGTCAATGTGTCGTGCCTGCGACCATCAATTCACTAATCCCCCACCAAAGCGGACGGGTTAGTTAGGTTAAAGTTCTTGAGCTGGGATTAGTCAATCAGGTTGTATTTTCTCGTGAAAGAGTTTGCTCTGTAGCAAGAATATGTCTTGAGCATTTCCCGGGATTTGTAAAAGCCGTTGGGACAGCTGTGTAGAGGCCTTGCAACATTATTCAGACCCATCATGATACTCACTACCTGGGCATCGTGATTGCATTGCACAAAGGCTTAGTAGTGTCATGCAAAATGTGTTCGCCGTGCTAATGTTGCTAATGGCCCACAGGCTGTATTTGGATTGGCTGGCATTACATCATGTAATCACAGAAAGGATTACATTAAGATGGTCTGCTCTGCTGCTATTAAAGGACCAAATGGCCTTCTCAAGAGCTGGCATGCCGCTATGTTTACAGAGGGACCCATTCAGTTCACCAAAGAAAAGAGGGCAACGTGGCAGACAAAGACGTCATTCTCAAAACTACTAAATAAAGTTAAAGAATACAAAAGTTTCACATTTCCTGCTTGGCATATTGTGGTTCTCTGAGTTTAGACTGTATACCAGGGGCCCCAACCACCATGTATATATATACACACACACACGCACACGCACACACATATATAGATAGATATACAGTGTACAGTGATCCCTCGCTATTTCGCGGTTCGTTTATCGCGGCTTCAGTGCATCGCGGATTTTTTCAAACATATAAAAAAAAATAAATAAAATAAAAAAAGTTTTTTTTTGTCTTTCTTAAGTTCGCAAAAAGCCCGCAAAAGGTCCGCAAGAAGCAGCGAAAGTCAGCAAAACAACAGCGAGTCACATAGAGCAACATATACTACATGTAATATGTTTACTGTATTATGTTATTCTTAACCTAACCTAATTTATACATGTTTAAATCTATTAGTATACAGCATTAAGTCATGCTAATTACTTCAAAATTTACTTCTACATCTATGTATACCATTAAATTTGGCCTTATAAATATTATGTACATGTACCTATATGGAGGAGGGGGGTGGTTTTTGGTCCCCATTAACCGCGATAAATGAGGGATTACTGTATATATACCTGTATATACAGTATATATATATATTCATTCATTCATTTTCCAAACCGCGGGGCATGCTGGAGTCTATCCCAGCTGTCTTCGGGCAGTAGGTGGGGGACACCCTGAACCGGTTTCCAGCCAATCGCAGGGCACACAGACGAACAACCATTCACGTTCACACCTAGGGACAATTTGAAGTGTTCAATCAGTCTGCCATGTATGTTTATGGAATGTACCCGGAGAAAACCCACGCAGGCCCAGGGAGAACATGCAAACTCCACACAGGGAGGCTGGAGCTGGAATTGAACTCGGGACCTCTGCACTGTGAGGTTGAAGCGCTAACCACTGGGCCGCCTAATATATATATAAAAAAAAAAATAAAATCCTCGTCTCACCCCCCTCGGGTGGTGTCCATCCCTCATTCAGCTCGGGTCCTCTACCAGAGGCCAGGAAGCTTGAGGGTTCTGCGCCCTATCCTTGCTGTTCCCAGCACTGCACATTTCTGGACTGAGATGTCCGATGTTGTTCCCGGGATCTGTTGCAACCACTCATCTAGTTTGGGGGTCCCTGCCCCGAGTGCTCCGACCACCACAGGCATGACTGCCACCTTTACCTTCCAGGCTCTCTCCAGCTCCTCTCTGAGCCCTTGGTATTTCTCGAGTTTCTCGTGTTCCTTCTTTCTGATGTTTCCATCACTTGGGCCCGCTACATCCACTACAACGGCTTTCTTCTGCCCTTTATCTATGATCACGATATCTGGTTGGTTCGCCATTACCATCTTGTCAGTCTGGATCTGGAAGTCCCACAGGATCTTCGCTCTGTCATTCTCCACCACCTTCGGAGGTGTTTCCCATTTTGACCTTGGGGTTTCCAGGCCATACTCCGCCCAGATGTTTCGGTAGACTATGCCAGCCACCTGGTTATGGCGTTCCATGTAGGCTTTCCCTGCCAGCATCTTACCCCCTGCAGTTATGTGTTGGATCGTCTCAGGTGCCTCTTTGCACAACCTACACCTTGGGTCTTGTCTGGTGTGGTATATCTGGGCCTCAATGGCTCTGGTGCTCAGGGCCTGCTCCTGAGCAGCCAGGATGAGTGCCTCTGTGCTGTCCTTCAGGCCAGCCCTCTCTAGCCACTGATAGGACTTCTTGAGATCAGCCACTTCAGTTATGGTCCGGTGGTACATCCCGTGTAGGGGCTTGTCCTCCCATGATGGTCCCTCTTCCAGCACCTCATCCTCTGTTCCCCATTGTCTGAGGCATTCTCTGAGTACGTCATCCATTGGAGCCTTCTCCTTGATGTATTCATGGAGCTATATATATATATATGTGTGTGTGTGTGTGTGTGTATATATGCGCACACATACGCACACACACACACACACACACACACAGTAACCCATAAATGTCAATCTTCGTTGAAACAAGACGTAATGGATAAATCAAGAGGAGAAAAATCCGGAGCATGCTAAATGGTCGACTGACAGCTTGGGCAACATGCATGTCACGATTTGATGGCTGGTACAGTGGACACAGACACACCTAATTTGAGTTTTTGGCTGCATTTGACGATCTGCTGCTGCTTTGTATGCCGCACTTCATTGGGTCATTATATTGTTAATTGGCCCAACCATGGCGGTATTGAAGGGTCAAAGAAACTGAATGCGTATCTGTGATGTTTGTTATTACAGTAATATGAAAATAAATTATTTATTTCAAGTGATGCCAATTTAGGCACACCCTTACACTATCTAAAATCAGCAGGAAGCCTGGGCTGAATCATCTCCATACACTGGTTAACAACATCTCTCAAGGGAGGATTCTGAAAGTCGATGGTAGGAAGGAAGTGAAGTTGGATTTGAATTCGATACACTAAGGAGAGTGCCGTAGGCCTCCTCCTGGACTTGACAAGTACCAGCAACATTATCCGTGAAGCCCTACACTTCATGGACAACCTCACAGCAGAGACAGTTCACAGAGACCATACACCCCACTATTTCAAAACAAAGGTCATGAAATTTGTGATATTCATTATTTCTCTGAGGATAACAACAAATCCAAAAGATATTCAGAGAGGACAATATGCTAATAAGAGGTTGGTATCATTAACAGTCACAGTCGGTCCAGTCTAGAGGACACTAAATTGGTACCAATCTTTTCCTTTTTATCTCCTCCATGTGCGCAGTCACATGAAATGACAAAGTACGTGCTACAAATGAATCCTGTGAAACGGAACAAGGTGCGTCGGCTTCAGAGTTTTGTGTTCCTGTTTAATTTAAAGCATGCTCATTTTTCATGCACATTTTGTTTAAAGCATTCAAATCTCAAAAGTGGAAATCTGCTCTATAATTTTGTGTTGCATGCATTACACCTTAATGGACCAAAATACAAACACGCAAGCACTCAGGGTGCTCCAATTCTCTGAAAGAAAGCCACTTTTCCTCAGCAAGAAGATCGTGAATGCGTCTTCGAGCATTACATAGAACCAAAACATACTGCCAGCCAGGACAACAAAGGAGTGGTAGAATTTTTTTATTAAGCTTTTTTTTTACATTTGCATTTATTTTTTGAATAATATAATCCAAAAAATGGTTCAGCCAAAATGTCAAAAATGTGCAACAGGCTGTAAAAATGCCCCTCGGCCGAATTTTGTATGTCTCTGATGAATTGGATAGTGATTGATTGCCATTTCTTTATCTATTTACTGACACACACGTGCATTTTATGGTGATTCCAAACGCAACTGGTGTGTTTTCTTGTCTAGTTCTTTGAATGGATCAATGTAAAGTGAGTTGTGGTTGTTCCATTTACGGACACCAGAGGGCGAAACGTGGCTTCGAGGCAACCATATGTTCCACGGTGTCTGCAGACTTTAGTGTGAGCGTGATTTTTAGTGGGCAGGATCGCGATCATTTGGACAGAAAGAGGAGAAAGTGAGGCGAGCTGAGCGGAGGAAAGACACTCAAACCAGCAAGAGGGCTGAGGCTCAACTTTGTCGCAGAAGCGCACACAAGTCAGAGATTACGCACTCAGGAACTTGACTTGAAGTCGCCAACATTTTTGCTCTTGTCGAACTACAACTTCTAACTGGTGGATGTTTAAAGCTGGCCAAGGTGTAACGCAGAGTCGAAGGAATGTATCCAAGTCGGACCGCGCTGAGCGGATGTCTCCGGGGATGTCCAGGCTGGATGGTCGTGCTGCTCCTCGGCTTCCTGGACCTCAGCGTGTCGGGTGAGTCTCCAAACTTTTTAAACCACTCTACGCTCTGCATATACCCTGGATTTCTCAACCGCGCGCGCGTGGGTACAAATACAGTATATGTGGAAAAACAGTGCACTGATATTTCTCTGATGCTGTGAGTTCATCAAAAGTTGGAAAGGCAATTTAGGTCACCCACCACCGTGCATGCCACTATGCACGTCTTTGTTTGCTTCCCCCTTGGTTTTGTTTGGCCGTGATAATACCATACGTGTAATTTAAACAGTACCCCTTGCAACGTCCCCTCTCATGTAAATGATCTTTGCTATTTGGTTGATGGGGCCCATTGTCAGTGAGCGGCATCCACACGGGGAACGACTTGACTCCACAATAGGAGCCTCTTATTAGTCACTCAGCTGAAGAGCTTTTGTGCCAGTCCTCAGTCATTTAAAGATAAGCAGGAGGCCTTTTACTTCTATCTATCTATCTATCTATCTATCTATCTATCTATCTATCTATCTATCTATCAAAATGGCTGTTTGCTTTTTGAAAGTGTTGGAAAAGTTATAGACCTGCATGTGAGTTTGACATCTCATCTGCAGCCATTGGACACTTTAACCAGGTACACCCTGTAAACTGTCACGAGCTGTATTCTACTTTTTTTTTTTTTGAGTGCAGTGCATATGGTCGTATTTTTATTCCATGGCAAAGCTGATTATTGTCGTTGACCCTGGTGTACTTGTCATTTTCTGTGTAGGTTAAAAATAAGAGCACAGCTTTTTTTTCCCAATAGTGTACAAGTCAAGGTTGAGCTCTGGGACCAAGATTTTTTATTTTTTTTTTTCAGATGAAGATGTTTTCTGTGGCGGTTACAACTGTAATTTGCATGTTCATTGAAAAAAAAGAGCAGCATGACACTGCAGCCTTCACAGGAGTAGTTGACTGCAGTCATCAGTGCAGAATGTTTCTTGTGTGGAAGTGATTCAGGACAGATGACAAAGAAGAAATTAAAAGCCATGGCTGTCTTTTAGTTGTCAGGCCTCAAAATAATCAGTCAGGATTGTATTTCATGTTATATGTCCACTAGTCTAATCAATATTTGTATACAAACCTATTTAATATATTTTCTTTCACATCCAAATAGTCTAACATGGGACCTGAACCTTGAAACTGCTTCTAATATTTGAATATTATAACAAATTACATACAACTCAACTGCAAGCAAATCATATTTCTCTGTAAACAGCAAATCAGACTTTGGATTAGCACTAAATTGCACACTTGGTGGGATTGAAAAAATTAGTTTACAACAAGAAAACGGTAATGAAATCATAACTTTGTTGATGGAGGTCATAAAAGTAGCAGTTACTTATCACCAGTTATTGAAGCCATATGTTTTTTTGGAGAAAAAAAAGAGTAAGTGCAATTTTGTCTCAGTTTAGTGCATGTTGAGTTGTGGTCAAAATAAGATATCAGATGGTGGCTTTGGGAAACATCAGTACATTAATAAAATGCTAATACTGTGTGTGTGTTTAAAAAAAAAATAAGTGGCAGTCTGATGAGTTCTGTATTCAGAAACGGTCTCCAGTTAGATATTCCAGCTGGCATCATATATTCCAAACCAAATCTTTTCATTCTGTTGGAAAATGCATGCTCCTCAAGAATGATTAGAATCAGTATAACAGCTTCTTCTTACTCAACGTTCAAAAAGGAAGTTGGATAATGGTTTTACAAACATGCTTCTCTAGCTTTTATTCATTTGCATCATCACCAAAGCTGGAAACATTTCACCAATTCCTTAACATTTAAAAAGTATTTTCATGCATTTGGGGGGTGAGGGGGGGAGATCTTAAACTTTACTTTCATCTGAAATATTAATATTGTAGCTTCTAGCGGAAGATCTGATTTCCAAAAAGGTGCAAAAATTCTACAGAAATGTGTCCTCTGTATGGCGTCGTTTCAAAATGCTCACTTTCCGTCCATCCATCAAGCTGTGCCCTTAAGCTGCAAAGTAATAATCTGTGACAAGCCTATAAAAATAAATTGACGACAATGTTTTCCGACGACATAAATTGTGTATGTGTTCCTGACGCGGGGCATGCATTTGAGAAGGTAAAAGGTCCTCTGCAGAGCACAGGCCCCCATGTGAAATCTGTTTAGAATTGCATTTAGCTATTTAATAACACTCAGGAAGCCTATAGATCATGTTGGGCCCAGCTGTCACGCTACAGTCTGCAAGGGAGCGCCGTGTTGACACTAAAGGCACTTCACATCTGGGGGGGGCGATGAAGAGAGAGGGGGGCGCACTAATGTATTAGGGCTTGTCTTGCTCTGTGTTGCTGCTTTGTGTCATCTGACATTTTGACAGACATGATGGAAGCAATTTACAAGCAGGTTAAAAAGAGGTGTTGCATTGGGAGCGGTGTCATCTTCCTTCCACCGATCAGCCGCTGAGATTTTTTTGATCCCTTACGGTGGTATCTCATTGAGTGGCGAAGACCTGCGGGGGGTACACAGCGGGCACGTTACATCCATGTGACGTTGAATACTGGATTTTGACGTCATGTAGATGTTGAACATACGTCGGATGCCCACCATGTAACAAATGTTGGATTTGTCAACGTTTCTAATGCATATTGGCGAAAATCAGGGGGTGGCCTCTGTCATTACTAGCAACATTTAAGGACTTTTAGCGATGCTTAGAGACAATATTTGGGAAAGTTGTTTGCAAAAGACAGGTAGCGACCATTTGGGAGAGTTGTCTTGTCCAGGGAAACCAAGACAACGGAAGTCTTTGTCCAACAATTTTATTTATTGCAGCTACAATTGATGGAGAAATACCATTAACAGATCTCTGATGGAGTGTCTCTCCAAGCAGTGGGGTGCGGCCCATCATATGCCATTTTCTTCTTCTTGGGAAGGGTTGAAGCCTAACTTACAGGAAAACGACAACCTAGAATAGCAACGAACTTTGCATAGCAACATTTGCAGATAGCATGATCAGGTGATACAATGATACTGTCACGTTGCGAGGTGGTGGTGGACCCCAAAAAAGCAGGCAGGAGGGAGGAGCAGGGTGTACTTGAAAGATTGTATTAAAACTCAGCGAAAACGAAATCCAAAACAAACAAAGTCCGAAGTATCAAACAAAACACATGACTGAAGATAAAACATAACACTGACCAAAACATGACTGAAACAAACATGACAGTAGCACAAAGCAACAATGACCCGACAATGATTGCTCGGGCTGGGAGTCCTTTTAAAGCCACTAATTACCTAATGACCAACAGGTGTGCAGCTGCAGGGGGAGCCCTACAGTGCCACCTGTTGGTCCCAAACCGAATCATGACAGTACCCCTCCCTCAAGGGACGGATCCCAGACGTCCCAAAGTTGTCCAAAGGCTTGCCTCGCCGGGAAACAGGAACTAAAAGCGAC